GTTCTGTGAGCATTCCAACAAGACAGGGTCTCCCACTTTTTTGGCCAGGTATCTTGGGCTCTGGGTGACGCCTGCATCGGTGAGGACTGTGAGAAAAGGGCAGGGGAGGTGAAAGACCGTCTCCAGGAAGCCTGAGGAGGGAAATCTCATACCCAGGATCTGGGGTGGTAGCTCAGGGGTTCAGCTGCCATTGGACTCACCTGCTCCCAGGACAGAAAAGGCCACAGCGCAGAGGAGCCTGAGAACCATGGCCGGTTCAAGACCAGAGTGGGTCTCCCCCAGCGAGGCCGCGGCAGGTGGCTGTGATGTCACTGTCCCGCTCACCTCAAGAGCTGGCCTCCCTCCAGTTGCTGGGGAGTGTAGAGCACAAGCTGAGCACCCTTGCTTTTCAGTGTGTGGGTGCACATGTAAGTGCATACATGCCTGTGCGTGTATGTACATGCCTGTGCATGTGTGCATGTGTGAGAGTACTCCATGTGTGTGCATGTGTGAGTTAACATCACGGACCTAACAGCTGTCTTTAGAAGGACCTGGTAGCGAGGCAGGCCCACCTCTGCTGCCGCCTCCAGTCCTCGGAATACTGTTCTCAAGTGACGCTCAGCTCTGATTAGGAAAACATTATGTGTGCTGTCTGTCTGTCTGTCTCTCTCCTATTTCTGTGATAGTTATAAACATATACACAAATATAAGCAGATAAAATACATATATTTCCTTCATGGAAATTCTAGCTTTACTTAACAATTTTTAAATAACATTATCAGTGAATTGGTTGAGGGCAGGCTCTAGAGTTAGGCCACCTGGGGTTGAAACTTGGTCCTCACCTCTTGGCTGGGACTGCAGGCATAGCTGGCTCCAGGTGTGAGAACGGGTGCACTGTCAGCAGAGAGGGGGCAGGGGGAGGAGGGAGAAGTGGGAGGAGGAACTCGACCTGGGCTAAGTTAGGAGAAAAAGACATCTCTGTGCTTGAACTGAGTTAAGGAAGGCGAAGAGAGAACAAGGGCTGTGCAGAGGGTGGGCTGAGCAGGGTGTGTGCCAGAGACAGGAGAGCAGGGGTGAGGCTAGGGAGGAGTTGTGAGGCTAGGGAACAGGGGTGATGCTAGGGAGCAGGGTGGAGGCAGGGAACAGGGGAGGGGCTAGGGAGCAGGGGTGGGCCTAGGGAGGAGTCCCTCTGAGACTGGGAGTCACAGTCACTTCCCTTCTGTGTCCTCCAGGGCAGTGTGATGCAGCTGTAGACTGAGAGGACACAACACTCTCAGGCCAGGAGAAGGGAAGCGTAGACAGCCCCTCACTCATGAGACCCTCAAAGATGGAAATTGGGGTAGAAAGACAGTCAGCTGGTAGAATGAATGCAAATTTGAAGATTTGGGTAAATCAGTAAAAAAGTTTTGAGGGAGACACTAGAGCAATGATGAAGGTTCTTTCTCAAGCAACCAGATAATTCAGCACCACAACTGACAAGGACCCGTGATGCTGAAGTAACAATGGCTGCAGAGCTGGAAGGAGCTTAAAAGGAGGAAACAAAAGCATCAGTAGATTATCCTCCCCTGGGCCGCATGCGCAGAGCACAGCTATTGTTCATCCCGTGTGGACCAGTTATCCAGAAAGATCCCAAAAGATCCCATGGAGAACGTGGGCCTGGACCAGGTGGCTCATGGGCTCGGGGAAGATATCCTTGACCGAGGCCTCCCTGACCCCGCCTGCTGTCTTCCTCTGACCATGACACACTGGAGACCCTTCTAAGCTCCTGCTCGAGTTTCCCTCCCTTTATCCTCAGCGTCGTGAGGCTGATGCTGTCCAGATGCAGCTTGTCAGGCCTCAGGGGCAGAAAGCAAGGTGACTGCGTGACATGATCACAGGTCATGCTCTTACCTGCATGTGCAGATCCGGGCGCGAGCCAGGAGTGGGGCTATGATTAATTCATTTCTCACTTGGCATCACTCGTACCCACAAAGAGGACGTCCAGGAGATGGGGCGTCTTGTAAAAAGAGACCGAAAAAGACTCCCGGCCTCAGGCGTTCTGAGCTGCAGACACTTCTGCCAGCAGTTCGCCCACAGCCTACTAGGACGCTTCCTGTCTGCGCAGACGGGGTGGACACTCTGTGTGTGTTACCCAGTGGTCCTGAGCCCGGCCCCATTAGGGGAAGCAGCTTCCCTGGAGAGAGGAGGCCACCATAACATCAGCACAGTGGACAGCACCCAGGGCTGTGGTGTCAGGTCCTCTGTCCCTTAGTTCCCTTCCGCCATGTCAGCAGGCTCCCTCAGCCCAGACCCTTCATAGACTTGCCTGAGGGCAATCGAGCCAGATTCCTGGGCCCCACCTACTGGAGGAGCTTCTTCCGGCCTCAGACACATGTGGTCTCAGGGACCAGCTCCAGGGCCTGGAAGACCTGTCCAGCCCAGCAGGGCATGTCCCGCTGCCCACCGCCCGCTCGTGCAGCAGCATGTGCTTGTCCAGGGCAGATCCTTCTCCAGCGACGGCCTCATTAATTTCAGGTCTTGGTCCTGGATTCATCGCCTCATGCAGAGTTGTTTTAGGATTGCATTTCCGTGGGCAGGGCCTTCTTTTCCAGGATAACTCCAACTGTTCTATTGTCTCCTCTGCCAGGCCCACCTGGCAAGCTCACCCCTGTCCTCTGAGCTCCTGACAGCTTCCCAGGACCCCCGGCGGCCCAGGCTGTTTCCTGAATGCACAGCCCACCTTAGACACATCTCAGCTGGGCATAGTTGTCACGGTGTTAGGTTTGGGGTGGTGCAAGCGCCCCATTGTGCATGGTGACCCGGGTGATGGACTGAAGGGGTGCTCCATGAGGCCTTCTCCCTCTCTCTCCCCCCTGCATCCCTGGCTTCCTTCCTTCCCTCCCTTCAGCTCCTTTAAGGCAAGACACTGAAGGGGTTTAAGTCCAATAGAGGGGATTGTGAGTGACTCCTTGGAAGCTGGTTAAGGAATCTGGGTGAGGGAGGACATTTGCTGACCATAGAGGTTACCTGTGAAGTTAGAAAAATTAGTAAAACTGCCAGGAACTCTGCTTAGAAACACGCAGGGGCGGTGATGGATGAGGCGAGGAGGTGACCGAGACACGGCGGGGGTGACTCCCCAGCTCTGGCTTGGGCGTTTGGGTGGATGGCAGGGCTGTTAGCTGAGCTGAAGAAAATGGGAGAAAGCAGATTTAGTAAAACACCGTCCCCCGAGGGAGGAGAAAGTGCCGGCATAGGGCAGAACTCTGTTGAGTGATGGCACTGACAACGGGAGATTCAGTTTGGGTGAAGCAACTCTCGCCGGCCACGGGGCCCTACACAGTCGCTTGTCCTGCTCACTGGACATGAACGGAAGGCTCCAGCACCGGGGAGGGACTTTGGTGGGTGCTGAGGGTGGATGCTGCTCCCGGGGTGGGGAGCTCCTCCCTTGTGGCTGCCTTTTGTGTGAGAGAAGCCAGCTGTGCCACGCTGTGTCTCCCTGCTGGCACAGAGGTACAGAGAGGTCTGCTCCAGGGCGGTTGACTTCAGGGTCAGGGGGAAACTCTTCTTGTATATTTGGGAGACCTCGTATCCCTCAGAACCATCTCCCTTCTCAGTTATGTCAACATTACGGGAGTAGTAGATCAGCTTCAGGCCCAGCCCCGGGTCTTGCCGATACCAGTACATGGCGTCGTGGCTTGTGCTCTGAGAACACTCCAACACCTGCTCCCTCCCGGCAACGTTATGTGGTATCTGGGGTACTGGGTCACTTCTGCTGCTCCATGGCCTGGAGGGGAGAAGGTGAGTCACAGAGAGCTCAGGAGGGCATCTGATGGTCGTGCCGCAGGGAAGGGTTTGAGCCAAGACCGGCAAGCAAGGCCAAGGGCTGCCCTTGGGTCCTGAGCCTCACCTGCCCCCAGGAGGAAAAGCATTTCATGCCCAGGAGCCGGGCACCCATGGTGGCCTCCGACAACAGGGCCCAGCTGATTCCTGTCATGCCTCCACCTTGGCTGCTGCTTGGCCTCGTGTTCAGGGAGAAGCCACACCCCTGTGCAGAGGGATGTGTGACACAGACGTGGCTGGGCCGTGGGTAAGGCGAGGGGGCTGCCCTGTTCTCGTTCCCCTTTGAACTGCTTCTTCCAGTGCCCATCTGGTTTGTCTTATTCGTATGTGTTTGGGAGAGTTGGCCAAGGTCAGCTTTATGCTGAAAATTGGTGCATTTCCTTATCCCTCAGGAAAGTACAGGGTGAAACTTAATCTATCATCAACATCACATGTTTGTATCACAGATGTGCTCATTTCTACTCTGCCACAAAAATAATTCCTAGTATATTCCTGTCTTGGTCTATTCACAGACATATTTTTTGAACACTGACCTTTTCAAGCACCTGTGGGTAAAAAATAACTCAGTACAATCCATGTTGTGGTTTTGGGTGTGTGTCCAGTTCAAAAGCCTGGACTGGGGCTCATTCCTGGTGAGCAGATCAGACGTGGTGGGGTTGCTAGCGGCTGCTTCCCACACGGGTTGGGCTCATCTGTCTTCCTCATCCTCTGCTCTCTCTGTCCACTAAAGGGTTGTGAAAGGCCATTTCAGTTCTGAGGAGTCCCTCTATCCCTCGTCTTTTATCATTATGTGAAGGCGACGCTGTGTGAGGCGATGCTGTGTGAGGGTTGTGTTGTGGAGGACTACACCACGGTGGCACTCTTAGTGCTCTTCCCCTGGCATTTTAAACCCTGGCTTAAAAGAGCAGGGCTGGTCTTCACCCATGGTAGAAAGTGCCAGTAGGTCTGTGACCACGAGGACTAGCTCATCCTCGCCATGAGAAAAGGAGAAAAAGAGAAAGGCCGAAAACAGAGAGAAGACATGAAGCCTGCAGAAGAAGCAAAGACAGCCGTGAGTTGGGAGGCGGCCGTTCCAGAACTGTCTTTCCGTCGCTCCTTATCTGGTCCTAATCCCACAGTGGCTGAAGCATTTCTTTGCTTCCTTCCTGCCAAACGTGACACCTGCTTCCTGAGCTGGGGCCTTCATTTTGTGCACACAGGAGCTGACATTTCACTACCGTGTACTGACTGCTGGCGCAGAAATACAGCGCTGAGTCTGCCGTTTCGGAGGATGGGATTTGCAGGCTGCAGGGTGAGTTCTCGGGACATTTAGCTGAGAAGTTCCGCGTCTTGAACAAATCAGTTTCATCCCTAATTTTATCCTCATCAAAATAAACCAAATATGTAAGCTCCTTTCCCAGGATCTGTTGATACCAGTAAACATAAGGATGTCCTTTTGCAGGACTACAGTTCATCTCAGCCTTCTGGCCTCTGCCTTTGACCAGATGTCCTGGGGTCTGGGTGACTTGGACATCAAGAGAGTCTGTGAAGAAAGGAAACAGAAGCTGTGGACAGAGCCAGGAGGGACCTTGTGCAGGGAAGGACCTGGGGCTGGAGACAGGCAAAGCCACGACTGAATTTTTCTTTTTATTTAGGACTCACCAGCTCCCAGGAGACAGAGGGCTAAACAGCAGAGGAGCCTCGTGTTCATGGCAGCAACCAAGGCGAGAAAGGGGGGTGTTTGCCTGCCCCCTCAGCGTCCTTCTCCTGTGGTGGCTTTGCAGACTCAGCCTCCTGGTGCCTTCATGTTCCTGAGCACAACCCCGCCCTCCTGTCAGAAGGGAGCGCCCTTCCCTGCTGTGGAAATGTGACTGGTTTCTATTTTATTCATTGAAAATGATCCAATTTTCAATTTTCATTGAAAGACATATCACACCTATTTTTACCAAGAGAAATTATTCATGTAGATTTTAGAATGTTAGAAAAGAAAGATAAAGAACACACGTCACCACTGTCTGCGATGCTTGCTGCAATACCTCAGTGGTACATTGTCCAGATCTCTGTCCTGTCTCTCTCTTACTTATGTACATGTGTAGATAGATGCATAGTAGGTAAGAGACAGACAAGAGGATGGATACACCTGCTTATATGTGTGTCAGCACATGAACGTCTCCCCCTGTTGGTAATGCCCTTTCATATATCTCTGACCCAGAATTCATCCAGAGATTTGCAATTATCTGAGGTTTTCCTGTATCATTAATTTGAACACCAGTTTCTCACTCAGGGCTGAGCATTGCTTTTGATGATTAATTGCTTAATTCCCTTTTCACATAATACAGATCCCTGTTGTTTTTATGATTCTGAGACCTGCCACTGCTTTGCAGAGTATTTTACCTTTTCAATATTTCTGGTGTGTTTTAGCTTGTTTATTTATTAGTGTTTATTCTCCGTAAAGAACCAGAATAACATAATCTTATTTTCCAAACATGTTATCTCTGTTCTCTAAATCTATATTTTGAGTAGCGTTTTCTGGCCTCATAGTTAATTCCTTTATAGGCTGAGTTCTGCAGAATGTAAATATTTCTATTGCATCCCAATTGCCTGGCTGTGTATACTGACACCTTTTCTAATTTCCATGTGGTTTTCCCACAGACAATTCAGCTTCCTCTATTCAAGCAGGAATGACTAATGATAATGAGATCACACATTATTTAATGTGATGACCTTTGTGAGGAACCAAGGACATGGACAACCACTGAAACTTTGGACTAACCAATCACCTGCCTGCTGATGACATCAGCTGTTACTTCAGATCAGCCTGAGCAACAGCCTACAAGGAATTTTCATACTTATGTTCATTAAACAAGACACTCAGCTTGTTCATAAACTCCATTCTGTCCAATTTCTTCAGTTCGATTCAATTCTGAGCAGTTGATGGTCTTCCTTCTCTTCATTAATTCCCCTTAGGTGTGAACAATCTTTGCAGAACTTGTTCTCTTTGTCCAAATGTCCCACCCACAATCAAGGTGAAGTTCAAATCGAATCTCCTTTGAGCTTTCTGGATACAGACAGAATGGCATGTTCTCTGCAGAGTTCCCAAATTACATCTAAGTGCAGGATCCTATCATGCTGCTATCTTCTGGTATGCTGTACATGATACATGACACTGTAGTTTATTACATTCCATTTCATCCTACAGATAAGTAGGGTATGTGAATGGCCTCTAGTGAAACATCAGTCAAGAACCAGCCAAAGAGCAAGTATAAGGGCCTGGGGCAAAGAAGTCAAGGAAGCTGGCACAGGAGGGTAGAATAGGGTTTTTTTGTGAAGCTGGCTACGCAGGAGGACGTCTCTGGGCCACAAGAGACTCCTGAATCGGGATGCAGACACCACCTGGGCATTAACTTTGGGGTGGCCCTGACTTGGAAGGGGTGTGGGGGGATGAGGAGGGTCAGGGCTCTCCAGGATGTGGCTCTTTAGGGTCACCTGCATCCTGTAGCCTCAGCCCCAGCTGGTGGCACCTCCCCTGCCCTGGCCCTTTTTGTTTAGGGAGGAGGTGTCTGTGCCCTGCTGTGGCTTAACTGCTGGCACAGAGGTACACAGATGTCTGATTGGGCCTGGCGGATGTCACATTCAAGGGGAATCGTTCCTTCTCCTTCCTGGACACGCTGTACCCATCAGGGAAATCGCCTTTCTGCGTATCCTTGACATTGATGGAGTAGTAGAGCAGTTGCAGCCCCAGGGCTGGGTCCTGTCGATACCAGAACATGTTATCATGGCCCATGTCCTGTAAGCATTCCAACAAGACAGGGTCTTCCTCTTTTTTGACCAGGTATCTTGGGCTCTGGGTGACGCCTGCATAGGTGAGGACTGTGAGTAAAGGGCAGAGGAGTTGAAAGACCATCTCCAGGAAGCCTGAGGAGGGAAATCTCATACCCAGGATCTGGGGTGGTAGCTCACGGGTTCAGCAGGGACTCACCTGCTCCCAGGAAAGAAAAGGCCACACCGCAGAGGATCCTGAGAACCATGGCCAGTTCAAGACCAGAGTGGGTCTTCCACCAGCGAGGCCGCAGCAGGTGGCTGTGATGTCACTGTCCCGCCAACTTGGGAGCCGCCTCCCTCCAGCTGCTGGGAAGTGTCGAGCACAGGCTGAGTGCCCTTGCTTTTCAGTGTGTGGGTGTACATGAGCATACATGCCTCTGTGTGTGTTTACATGCCTGTGCGTGTGTGCACGTGCCTGTGCGTGTGTGCGTGTGTGTGAGTACTCCATGTGTGTGCATGTGTGAGTTAACATCCCAGACCTAACATCTGTCTTTAGAAGGACCTGGTAGCCAGACAGGCCCGCACTCAGATGCCGCCCCCAATCCTGGGAATACTGTTCTCAAGTGACGCTCAGCTCTGATTAGGAAACATTATGTGAGTTGTCTGTCTGTCTGTCTCTCTCCTATTCATGTGATAGTTATAAATATATGTAAATGTATAGAGATAGAATATATGTATTTCCTTCATGGAAATTCTAGCTTTCCATAACAGTTTTTAAATGACATTATCAATGAATTGGTTGAGGCAGGCTGTAGAGGTGGCCACCTGGTGTTGAAACTTGGTCCTCACCTATTGGCTGAGATGCAGGCATGGCTGGCTCCAGTGTGAGAACAGGGTGCACTGTCAGCAGACAGGGGGGAGGGTGAGGAGGGAGAGGCATGAGGAGGAGCTTGAGCTGGGCTAAGTTAGGAGAAAAAGACATCTCTGTGCTTGAACTGAATTAAGGAAGGTAAAGAGAACACAAGGGCTGTGCAGAGGGTGGGCAGAGCAGGGTGTGTGCCGGAGATTGGGAAGAGGGTTTAGGCTAGGGGGCAGGGGTGGGGCTAGGGCAGAGTCTTTCTGAGACTGGCAGTCAATGCATTCACTTCCCTTCTGTGTCCTCCAGGGCAGTGTGATGCAGCTGTAGACTGAGAGGAGACAGCACGCTCAGGCCAGGAGAAGGGAAGCATAGACTGCCCCTCACTAATGAGACCCTCAAAGATGGAAACTGGGGTAGAAAGACAGTCAGCTGGTAGAGTGAATGCAAATTCGGAGATTTGGGTAAATCAGCAAAAAGTTTTTGAGGGAGACACTAGAGAAATGATGAATGTTCTTTCTAAAGCAACCAGATAATTCAGCACCACACACTGACAAGGCCGCGTGATGCTGAGGTAATAATGGCTGCAGAGCTGGAAGCAGTTTATTTTTTTTATTTTATTTATTTATTTTTTAAAGAGGCACGTATTTTATTTATTTATTTGTTTGTTTGTTTATACATGCACTGGGTACAGTCAGAAGCGCGGGAGGGTGAGAGAATTCACCAGAGCCAGAGCGGGGAGCAGAGCAGGCAGAAGGACCGAAGGACACTGCTGAGGGGAGCAGCGGGCGGCAGGAGAGGTCTGCGCGCCATGTGGGACCCTCCTCCGGTGGCTGGGGAGCAGCTGGGGATTGAACCGGCGCCGCAGAGGCCGCAGGGAGCTTCACAACCCAGTGCTCAACCGCTGCGCCACTGGGGAGGCCCAGAGCTGGAAGCTGTGTAAGAGGAGGAAATAAAAGCATCAGTAGACTATCCTCCCCTGGGCCGCATGCGCAGAGCACAGCGACTTTTCATCCCGCGTGGACCAGTTAACCAGAAAGATCCCAAAAGGGCCCGTGGAGAACGTGGGCCTGGACCAGGTGGCTCATGGGCTCAGGGAAGACATCCTTGACCGAGGCTTCCCTGACCCCGCCTGCCGTCTTCCTCTGACCATGACACACTGGAGACCCTTCTAAGCTCCTGCTCGAGTTTCCCTCCCTATATCCTCAGCGTCGTGAGGCTGATGCTGTCCAGATGCAGCTTGTCAGGACTCAGGGCCAGAAGGAAGGTGACTGGGTGACATGATCACAGGTCATGCTCTTACCTGCATGTGCAGATCCGGGCGCGAGCCAGGAGTGCGGCTACAATTAATTCATTTCTCCCTTGGCATCGCTCGTACCCACAAATAGGACGTCCAGGAGATGGGTTGTCTTGTAAAAAGAGACTGAAAATGACTCCCGACCTCAGGCATCTCCCACTGCAGACACTTCAGCCAGCAGTTTGCCCACAGCATACAGGGCCGCTTCCTCTCTGCGCAGAAGGGGTTGGCACTGGGCGCGCAGTGCCCTGTGGTCCTGAGCCCTGCCCCATTCGGGGAAGCAGCTTCCCTGGAGACAGGAGGCCGCCCCCACGTCAGCACAGTGGACAGCACCCAGGGCTGTGGTGTCAGGTCCTCTGTCCCTTAGTTCCCTTCTGCCATGTCAGCAGGTTTCCTCAGCCCAGACCCTTCATAGACTTGCCTGATGGCAATCGAGCCAGATTCCCGGGGCCTCAACTACTGGAGGGAGCTTCTTCCGGCCTCAGACACACATGGACTCGGGGACCAGCTCCAGAACACCAAAGACCTGTCCAGCCCAGCAGGGCATGTCCCGCTGCCCACCGCCCGCTCGTGCAGCAGCATGTGCTTGTCCAGGGCTGCTCCTTCTCCAGCCACTGCCTCACTAATTTCAGGTCTAGGTCCTGGGTTCATCGCCTCGTGCAGAGTTGTTTTAGGATTGCATTTCAGTGGGCAGGGCCTTCTTTTCCAGGATAACTCCAACTGTCCCATTGTCTCCTCTGCCAGGCCCACCTGGCAGGCTCACCCCTGTCCTCTGAGCTCCTGACAGCTTCCCAGGACCCCCGGGGGCCCAGGCTGTTTACTGAATGCACAGCCCACCTTGGCCACATCCAGCTGGGCAATGTTGTCACGGTGTTAGGTTTGGGTTGGTGGAAGGGCCCCATTGTGCTTGGTAAAGCTCCATGAGTCCTTCTCCCTCCCCCTTGCCCTTTCATCCCTGGCCTCCTCCCTTCCCTCCCTTCAGCTCCCTTAAGGAAAGACACTGAAGGGTTTAAGCCCAAGAGAGGGGATTGTGGGTCACTCCTTGGAAGCTGGTAAAGGAATCTGGGAAAGAGAGACATTTGCTGACCATAGAGGTTATCTGTGAAGTTAGAAAAATTAGTAAAACAACCAGGAACTCTGCTTAGAAACACGCAGGCGCGGTGATGGATGAGGCGAGGAGGTGTCCGAGACACGGCGGGGGTGACTCCCCAGCTCTGGCTTGGGCCTTTGGGTGGATGGCAGGGCTGTTAGCTGAGCTGAAGAAAATGGGAGAAAGCAGATTTCCTAAAACACCGTCCTCCAAGGGAGAAGAAGGCGCTGGCATAGGGCAGAACTCCACTCAGTGATGGCACTGACACGGGAGATTCAGTTTGGGTGAAGCAACTCTCTCCCACTACGGGCCCCAACACAGTCGCTTGTCCTGCTCACTGGGCGTGAACGGAAGGCTCAGCACCGGGGAGGGACTTTGGTGGGTGCTGAGGGTGGGATGCTGCTCCCGGGGTGGGGAGCTCCTCCCTTGTGGCTGCCCTTGTGTGAGAGAAGCCAGCTGTGCCACGCTGTGTCCTCCCTGCTGGCACAGAGGTACAGAGAGGTCTGCTCCAGGGCGGTTGACTTCAGGGTCAGGGGGAAACTCTCCTTGTTTTTCGGGGGACCTCGTATCCCTCAGAACCATCTCCCTTCTCAGTTATGTTAATATTAATGGAGTAGTAGATCAGCTTCAGGCCCAGACCCTGGTCTTGCCGATACCAGTACATGGCGTAGCGGCTTGTGCTCTGAGAACACTCCAACTCCAGCTCCCTCCCGGGTAACATGATGTGGTATCTGGGGCACTGGGTCACTTCTGCTGCTCCATGGCCTGGAGGGGAGAAGGTGAGTCACAGAGAGCTCAGGAGGGCATCTGATGGTCGTGCCGCAGGGAAGGGTTTGAGCCAAGACCGGCAAGCAAGGCCAAGGG